CTTTCTGAGCCCTCCGAGTAAGCATGAAGCATTTGTGTGGATCAGTCACAGTGAGGTTTGGATAGCAGCTCTGCAGGACTGACAGAAAACACTTGAGTGAGTTTTATTCACTGTAGTGGAATTAAGACTGTGTTACCATGCCGACAAGCGCTCGGAAGTGAGAGGTGAAGGTTGTTTTGATATGGGGTGCTAATGAATAATGATGATAAATTTGATAAAAATGAGTGATGTACAAGGTTCACACTATTACTTCTGCATTGATTTGTACTGTATAATTAATAAGAGGAAAATCAGCTTAAGTTTCAGGATTGAGATAATGGTGAAACAATGGCACAAAAGAAAAAAGATCAAATTTTATTTTTGGCAGATTTATACTTGCACTGTTGATATTTTTACTGGCACCATCACAAAACAAGAACAACATTCTAAAAGAAAAAAAATAGCTGGAAATCAGTGAGAGGTGAAGGTTGTTTTGATATGGGGTGCTAATGAATAATGATGATAAATTTGATAAAAATGAGTGATGTACAAGGTTCACACTATTACTTCTGCATTGATTTGTACTGTATAATTAATAAGAGGAAAATCAGCTTAAGTTTCAGGATTGAGATAATGGTGAAACAATGGCACAAAAGAAAAAAGATCAAATTTTCTTTTTGGCACCATCACAAAACAAGAACAACATTCTAAAAGAAAAAAAATAGCTGGAAATTCTATTATAATTTAATTTGTCATATTAACATACACAAACATTTTTACTAAAAGTAGTTTCCATATGGTGATTTATAATTTTCAAACCATTTTAACTTAATTTTAAACTTTACATTTAATGAATTATCATGAAATGCCCATTTAATATTAGTCACCTACATAATTTTACCATCTGACATTTTATCAGCAGAATTTGCAACAATGCTTAATACATCACAGAAAACCAAATTCTCATCATACAGGATCATGTGTATTGTTAATTAATGAAATACTGAAAGAATGAAATTAATTAATGAAAGAATGAATAAATGACTGCATTAATAAATAAATAAATTTAGGCCAATTACCAATAGCTGATTGACAAATTCAGGATTTTTTTAGTGATCAGTTCAAAAAACAAGCAATCAAAACAACACTTACTTCTTGTAGCTGCAGCTGGTCTTGATAAATCAAGTCAGTGCATTAGTTGACTTGTCCTGGGTGGAAGTGTGTGAATCTCAGTGAGTGTTCAGACACCTGTAATGAGGACAGAGAGGACATGTGGTGAGGGTTTGATAGATGACTCCTGCGCAGTTGCGTCACTTTTGCAGTCAATATTTGCACTCTCTCATTTGTGAGGCGTCTCGATCTCAGATGGTCCACTCTTCTCTCCTAGATTATGATCTGAACATCACTGAAGCACTTTGTGTATGGTTGATGTACATGTATTGACAAACCATGTACAGATAAGAACACACCCCTTGACCAATTACAGTCCGTCACACTTACATTCACACACAGACATGAGACAGAACCAGGGAAAAAACACCTTCAGAAGAGGTGAAGGTAAAGTCTTTTAATGACTCTCTAATGGGAGATTTGATCTCAGATATTAAAGCTAGCTAAAGGCAAAGAGTGGATGAGACATGTGCATACATATTTTAATCAACTAGTTGGTGGACTGCCTGAATGGCTACTTGACAAGTCTGTACTAGATAAGTCATGCATAAAACAGACTGCCATGTCCACCAGACTCTGAACAGATGCATTTATTTGGGATTTATGGATGTTAAGCACAGCACTTGTAGGCTGAATAACTCTAACCTTACATTTCACAAAACTATCAATTTCATAAAACATGTTCTTCAATGTGCAGGCATATATTTACTCTGCATTCAAAAAAATCCCAAACTCAAATATTAGAGCATACTGTGGGTGCACAACATATATTATATAAATACTTTTTTATAATTTTAAAATTTTCTAAAAAAATATACAGTATAATTGCAAAAGTAATTTTTAAACTGTAATACAGTATGAATATGAATACAATAATGATAAAAAGCAGACACATATAGTAATGAAAATGAACGGGATAAAGTTAAATAGCTTAAACAAATAAATAAAAAATATTTAAAAAAAAATATGGGGAGTAATAGCGGACTGAATTTTTTTGATAAAAAAATGATTTCACATTTTTTTCCATTTGGTTTTGGGGATAAAATGTGTTCTTACACACACTTGAGAACAAGTGCCACACCATAAAGAACAATAAAATAAACATCATTTGAGCAAATCTGGTCAATGAAAACTCAAATGTACTTGCTTCACATTTGAGAAACTTCATGTGCATCAAGCAAGCACATTTGAGCCTCCATGTTTATATGGATTACTTTTACAATATCTTTATAACATTTTGGTTGAATGGACTTAAATTGGAGGTACAGAAATCTATAATCAAATTAAATGAAGTAATTACATTTTCTTTTTTGAGCAATGTAACCCTTTATGTTTTAGACAACATAGGCTACTTGTTGTCAGTTTTACTGATGCAGTTTGAGTACTAAAGGGATAGTTTACCCCAAAATGAAAATTCCTTCATTATTACTCACCCTCATGTCAGAAAGCTCTTGGATTTCATCAAAAATATCTTCATTTGTGTTCTGAAGATGAAGGAAGGTCTTATAAAATTTGGAACAACATGAGGGTGAGTAATTAATGACAGAAGTTTAATTTTTGGGTGAACTATCCCTTTAATAATAACAGTTGCTGAAACAGGAAATTGTATTGTAAAACACTTCTGACGTCAAGCAGCCAGTTTCATAATTGGTGCAAGCTGAAAGTTAATTTGGCTAAAGTATCACAGCATAGAGTTACTCACCAACAATTAACCATAATGAAAGATGGTAAGCAACAATACTCATTCTGATTCATTACTGAAATGTGCCTAATTATTTTTAGATTCACAAAATGTTCAAATCTATTATGAAGAAAAAAGAGAGAGAGAGAAAAAAAAACATTTTATGCATTTACTGTAAAAAGGCATCTGGGGATATTAAGAATCAATATCAGATCACATCATTTAAATGAAGACTGTATTTAGTTAGAACATGTATCTATTTTTACCCAGCTGTACATCGCAATGAAATAAAACTCCCCTCATTCCCTGAGACTCATTTTCTACAGTCTAAACTTAAATAAAATCAGCGCCAGGGGAGGGGAAAAAATGACAGCTCTCCAATTGGCTAAGAGAGTCATCGATCACGACGGCCCGTGTCATTACCGTGACAGCGCTGCGCTCAGCAATTCAGCTCATATTCTGTTTGAGCAGAGTTCAGAGAGGGACGAGGAGCATATCGAGCGCCCGTTGCACAATACACCTGATTCTAATACAGCAATGCTCTCATCTCTCTCTGCCAGCTCTCCAATCAATGCCACTCAGCTTCAATCAATTCTTTTATACCCCATTCAATGGATGGGTTATTGGCATTACTCACAGTATAGACAAAGAGCTTGTAAGTATAAGACGAACAACAGAAGGCAGCTCTCAGTGTCTTTTCATACAGTTACATAAAGTCTTTTTTACTGTGCCAAGTAATTCTCATTATTTGAGATCCAGAGTTAATACCCACAAGCTGTCAGTGATACATTCCAAAAAATGAAGCAGATTAAATAAGAACTAGGAACAGAGAGGCAGACGATGACAAAGGTCGACAAATACGCACACTGATGCAATCTCAACTGAGCAAACAATATCAAATCAAGATAGTTTTAGACAGGCATCAGATAATCCCCCTGTATTCATGGTTCCTTTGTGTCTCTCTTATAAAACGCAGACTCCAGCATCTACATAGGTCAGTGTTAATGGGAACCCAGGTGCATATTCTCACCAACAGCGATGTGCGAGAGGATGACAAAGACCTAGAGAGCTTGTATTCCCTATGGAGGCCTGGCCCATAACCTGCCCTGGAAGTGTGCCTGTGCTCTCGGCAGCATTCGCTTGAAGGAGACACATAAAAGCTCCTCTTGGCTGTGGGGTCAATTACATTTAAATTTGACCAGCTCAAGAGGTGCACTAAGGCTCAATACACAATTCAAACACGCGCATACTAAGTGGATTCGAAGAAAAGTCTAGTTTGGCTAAGTGAAATGTGACTTTCTGAGCCCTCCGAGTAAGCATGAAGCATTTGTGTGGATCAGTCACAGTGAGGTTTGGATAGCAGCTCTGCAGGACTGACAGAAAACACTTGAGTGAGTTTTATTCACTGTAGTGGAATTAAGACTGTGTTACCATGCCGACAAGCGCTCGGAAGTGAGAGGTGAAGGTTGTTTTGATATGGGGTGCTAATGAATAATGATGATAAATTTGATAAAAATGAGTGATGTACAAGGTTCACACTATTACTTCTGCATTGATTTGTACTGTATAATTAATAAGAGGAAAATCAGCTTAAGTTTCAGGATTGAGATAATGGTGAAACAATGGCACAAAAGAAAAAAGATCAAATTTTATTTTTGGCAGATTTATACTTGCACTGTTGATATTTTTACTGGCACCATCACAAAACAAGAACAACATTCTAAAAGAAAAAAAATAGCTGGAAATCCTATTATAATTTAATTTGTCATATTAACATACACAAACATTTTTACTAAAAGTAGTTTCCATATGGTGATTTATAATTTTCAAACCATTTTAACTTAATTTTAAACTTTACATTTAATGAATTATCATGAAATGCCCATTTAATATTAGTCACCTACATAATTTTACCATCTGACATTTTATCAGCAGAATTTGCAACAATGCTTAATACATCACAGAAAACCAAATTCTCATCATACAGGATCATGTGTATTGTTAATTAATGAAATACTGAAAGAATGAAATTAATTAATGAAAGAATGAATAAATGACTGCATTAATAAATAAATAAATTTAGGCCAATTACCAATAGCTGATTGACAAATTCAGGATTTTTTTAGTGATCAGTTCAAAAAACAAGCAATCAAAACAACACTTACTTCTTGTAGCTGCAGCTGGTCTTGATAAATCAAGTCAGTGCATTAGTTGACTTGTCCTGGGTGGAAGTGTGTGAATCTCAGTGAGTGTTCAGACACCTGTAATGAGGACAGAGAGGACATGTGGTGAGGGTTTGATAGATGACTCCTGCGCAGTTGCGTCACTTTTGCAGTCAATATTTGCACTCTCTCATTTGTGAGGCGTCTCGATCTCAGATGGTCCACTCTTCTCTCCTAGATTATGATCTGAACATCACTGAAGCACTTTGTGTATGGTTGATGTACATGTATTGACAAACCATGTACAGATAAGAACACACCCCTTGACCAATTACAGTCCGTCACACTTACATTCACACACAGACATGAGACAGAACCAGGGAAAAAACACCTTCAGAAGAGGTGAAGGTAAAGTCTTTTAATGACTCTCTAATGGGAGATTTGATCTCAGATATTAAAGCTAGCTAAAGGCAAAGAGTGGATGAGACATGTGCATACATATTTTAATCAACTAGTTGGTGGACTGCCTGAATGGCTACTTGACAAGTCTGTACTAGATAAGTCATGCATAAAACAGACTGCCATGTCCACCAGACTCTGAACAGATGCATTTATTTGGGATTTATGGATGTTAAGCACAGCACTTGTAGGCTGAATAACTCTAACCTTACATTTCACAAAACTATCAATTTCATAAAACATGTTCTTCAATGTGCAGGCATATATTTACTCTGCATTCAAAAAAATCCCAAACTCAAATATTAGAGCATACTGTGGGTGCACAACATATATTATATAAATACTTTTTTATAATTTTAAAATTTTCTAAAAAAATATACAGTATAATTGCAAAAGTAATTTTTAAACTGTAATACAGTATGAATATGAATACAATAATGATAAAAAGCAGACACATATAGTAATGAAAATGAACGGGATAAAGTTAAATAGCTTAAACAAATAAATAAAAAATATTTAAAAAAAAATATGGGGAGTAATAGCGGACTGAATTTTTTTGATAAAAAAATGATTTCACATTTTTTTCCATTTGGTTTTGGGGATAAAATGTGTTCTTACACTTGAGAACAAGTGCCACACCATAAAGAATCAGCAATAAAATACTGTCCTTTAATCTCTCCACAACACCTGTGGATTCTGCATAATAACAGATCATTTCTCACAGCAGGTGATCTGAGGCCTGATAGAGATCATTTAAAATCTGTTGAAGGTGGTGAATTTGTACATAAGCGGTGCTTTGATGGCTGTGGAAATGGTGCTTTAATAACAATGAATTGAGACATGCAACTTTTCGGAGACAGTAAAAGCGCAGCATACTAAAACATTCACAGAGATGTTGCAAATCCCAAATCTTTGCTTCAAAAGCATAAAAACATCATCTTCCCTAATCAACTAGCTGGTTGTTAGATAGCTGGTAACTAGTCGACCATCCTGACCCATAACCACACACACATAAACACAGCAAGTGCTAAGTGACACACTTGTCTCCAACATATGCTGGACCCAAGAAGAAATGCATACTTAACATTATGAAGAGTGAAAGATCTGGCTTCCAAAAACAGATACCTCATGGTGATCTTCACAACAACCAGCATGCATCTGCTGTCTGTGAGTGCATTTGTGCTGGAGCTTTATTCTTTGGCTGGTAATGCACGACAGGAGGCCGAGAGAGAAAACAAGGACACGTGGAGAGAGAGAGAGAGAGAGGAGGGCGGGCAGAAAAGACAACAGAGGAAGTACACAGGAAGGAGCCTTTGTTCTTGCTGATGCAGATTGAGAGTTTAATGTTTAATGGATCTCAGAAAGACACAGAAGATCTCTCAGAGGACCACCAGAGGAAACCTTAACCAGGATGTCAACTAACAACACGCCTGCACATGGGAGTAGAGTGGGTCACAATGTTGAATAATCGTCTAACAACTAGTTGAACCTAAAACCAGACCTGATTAGTCGCCTAGGCATTCACATAACCCAATGACTAGTTGATTTGAATGAAATGTGTAGTTCTGCACATTCCTAACATGGACTATCAACAACCTGAGGTTAAAGAGGGACATCATTGATCCAACCAAAAAAACAACATCATTCAAGCCAAACAATTACAAAAATAACATGTATAGTTAAACAGCACTCATCCCGTCTCTCTTCCACATACACACAAAGCAACCTCTGCACAGTGTCAAAGTCCCAGCGAGAGCCATGTTCCACTCTCCACTGACTAATTCAATATTGATAAAGAAACTAAACAAAGCATGACTATCAGCGCTGGAGGATTCCCAGTAGCAACAGTGAGCAATCTCCCAACTCTACCCTCACTACATGTCTCTCCTTCCCATTTATTTCACTCAGTTTCCTGTACAGTCCTTGGCTTTCTCCAGTTATATTCAACATTGTATACCGATTATCATACTAATGCACCTCTCAGCATTTCGGCAGTATATTACAGCATGAATGAAAATTTCACAAAATGATAACTCCCCCTGTTTGCGTAAAGAAAATGGATAAATTTATCAACATTAATTATTTTAGAACCGTACTTTGCTGAACTGTGACAATTTCCGCAAATCTCTAATTCATAGACGCATTAATTGTTTTCTTCCCTGCATTTAAACATTAAAAATAATAATTTCATTTTTATTTAAATTAGTGTTAAGGCAGCACAATAAACACTACCACAATGTTTTACAATTAAGAATAATATACATTTTTTTAGCATTTAAGTAATGAAAATTATTATAATTTTTTTTTAGCATTTCGATAATGGGAATTTGGGGGAAGTTTTAATATTTAATTGCCAAAAATGTCATTATATTACAAAAAACAAAGACAGAAAATAATTTATGTTTTAAGGGTGAAATATGATTTAGACATATTCTTGGCAGGGTTCAAGATATAATATCTACTGTGATTTAACAATTTTGACTGAGTGCTTAAATTTTAACCCCAAATGTAATTAATTCACAAATAAACATTAAACAAAATTCAATAAATAACTTTAACATAACTGGACACAAATTTACTCAATTATACAAGGGTATCCAATAAGCTTGTGTGATAAACATAATATTAACCGTAAATGTGTAAACCGCGCAGTATGCAGCACACTAGTACTCCATTCTACACACAGTCTGATTCATCCATCCATCTACACATCCTTTGCCATAACCCACCCCTACACAGTGTCCTCCCATCTCAGCATGACAGAACAGAGTCTATAGTTCATGCAAGGTGCTAATTGATTGGCTAAAATCCCTTAGCCTGTACACAGTGTGCTGACAGCAATGGAGACACTTATGTCAGCCTGTGACAGCTCTGTATCTTCAGGTGGGAACAGGACAAACTCATCTACCCCCTCATTATGCAGTTTTCCACTGACTGCCAGTTTGCACATGCAAAAGCACACAGAAGCCTACAGAGATCTAAAATGACCTTTTAAGAAACCCAGCTCTCATTTCTCCATCACTGCACCTTCAAGCCAGCAGCAGCGGTGAGCGCGTGTGTGACGGGGTGGCCGGGATGGCGTGTGTAACAGCGTATAGATGGCTGTGAGTCATCGCTCCGGCAGGGAATCGTAAGAGAGCGGTGCAACGTTGACACCGGTCCATGTGCAATGACAGGGAGAAGATTAGATCATCATGATGTGCTGCTGTGGCAACGCTCAGAATCATGGGCATAATTCACAAATAAATGATGAGTGGAGGGAGGAGCGATGTAATAAGTGAAATACCCTTTTAAGATGCTGCAATCCCAGTGACATTTCATAAGCCAAAGAGCTGCTTCCAATTTGTGGGCTGCACGGGTGAGAACGACGCCACACGGAGGGGGCGGACGTAGCATAACACAGCTGCCAATCTGGTGACAGTGAATGACTTAATCATACCTTAATCCAAGCCACGAGTAAGAGAGATGTAGAAGAGAGCAAGAGAGTCATCACAAATCTTATCATAAATCAGCTCTGTGAGTCAAGGTGAAGGGAGGGACAATAAAGCGCACTCAGAAAACACTTTAATTTCATCAGTGTGATATGTGAAAGTGAAAGAAACCATTTGTTTAAATCCTATAATAAAAAGGCTGATAGAAAGGCATCACCACGGGACAGATATGGCCGGCAGAGCTCTCTCACACATCCCTGAAGAACCACTCAGCCTCTCTGAAGGTATTTCATCATCTCTGCAACGCAGAGGAGATAAAGCCAAGAGGAGAACCTGTTGTCATATAATCTCCTCATCCTGACAAATACCGTCACTCTCTTCAGCACTGGACACAGCTTTTGCACATATCTGTCTCAAAGATGTACAACAGTACATAACAGTACAAAAGTGTAGACCCATCCATCCATTCTCCAAACCACTAGCACTATGTAGGGTCATGGACAAAATGTTAAATAACATAAAGTAAACAATAAGTTATTAAACTTCTGAAGATAAAAACAAAAAACCCCCCAAAAAATCAATTATATTTTATTCTGCAAATACATATCTTTTTTAATTTAAGCCTCCATCAAAAAATTTGGGATGTGTAAGTTTTTTTTTTTAAAGAAATGAATTTTATTCAACAAGTTTGCAATAAATTCATCAAAAGTGACACTAAAGACTTTATATTACAATTAATTTCTATTTCAAATAAATGCTTTTCTTTTGAACTTTTATTCATCAAAGAATAATAAGATGTACCATGGTTTCCAATCAACAAAAATATCAAGCAACTGTTTTTAACAGGGATAAAAAAAAAGATGTTTCTTGCGCACCAAATCAGCATAGAATGATTAGAATGATTTCTAATCATGTGACACTGAAAAAATAGCTTTGCCATAACAGGAATAAATTACTAATCTATTTTATATTACAATAGAAAAGAGTACTTTTAAAATTGTAATAATATTTCACATACATACATATATACCCCAAACTTATCGATGGCAGTGCACATAAAACATTGGTAAAATGTGTCTAATAGAGTACTACATTCTAAATGACAGCTGAAAGCACTGATACAATTAGCCAAAATATTTCATAAATGAGCATGCAAGAGGCGAGTCTGTGGGCTGGGCACAGATTCCACATGGACCTGTACTCTTTCCT